ACATACTCATTTTTAACCACAAATTCACAAAATAAAATATTTTGCACGTAAACCCACAAATTTTCCCTACTTTTTAACCACACATTTTCCGAAAATTACTATTCAAAACATTATTTTTCACAAATAATGATTGTCAAATAGGATAAAAGTATAAGCACAACATTGATTAAAATAGTATTAATTTTATTGTTTATATTGCAAAGTATATTTATGTTTGTTAATTTGAACATGTCAACAATATATTGATAACGAGTTGGCAATGTATCTCACGACATGTCGGTAATGTTAGTGTTGTGTCCAATTATACAAAATCAAACGATATTTAGACACACCATCTAGCATTTTCTATATGTATCGGTATCAGATACAATGTATATCACGGCATATAATTTGTGTTTTCTATTATTTTATGACTTGAGTTTACAAAGTCGCAATTTTAGGTTGTTGGATGAATAAGTGGCAATGGAGCAAGAAACTATGTTTTTTTTTTACTGATTTAACTGAATAATTTGTTGCCGTTTCTTCTTCATTGAAAGTGTCTAACTAAACCCATTGGTGATTTTCGTAGATTTGTCATGACCAAATATAATTTGTACGTTACGTAAAAATGGCAATAATCTTAGAGTTGATAACAAGTTTGGTATGGGTTGTTCAAAAGAAATGACAATTGCAAAGAGGAAGAAAGCTTGTACCCCACCGGCCGAGGCTGAAAACTGGTTGTGCTTTCATTTATGCAACTTCTATCCATTTTCCATTAAAGATTTTGAGGACAGAGACTGATTTTTTTATTTTTTTTTGGAAATAAGGGAAAGGATAGAAATAGAGAGAATAGGAGAGCAATGTGAATTATGAAATGAGTTGTTAAGATGAAGGATGATTACGTATTACATACATTTTAATCATATTAGTTTACAAATAGTTTTAAGTTACAATTGTTGTAAAATAGACGGTAACTGGATTAAAGTAGATGGTAAGTTAACCCCTTCGAGGGTGGCCGAGTTGGTGGAGCAAATGAACTTGGAGACCGAAGGTCACGAGTCCGAATCCCCTATCAACACTTCCTCAATTGAGCCTGTTGCACCAAACTTGCCTAGTGCGGTTCACCTCTCCTGTGTGGTTTGCAGGCTACTGCACATGAAGCGGGGTTTACCTAGTGCGCACTCACAGTGGTCGGGCCTCTACTGGCGGATAGCGGCTGCGGGTTTTTACGTTAACAAAAAAAAAAAAAAAAGTAGACGATAAGTTTCAATTATTGTAAGTTTTTTATGTGTAAAAAAATTATTGTGTGAAAAAAAAAAAAAAAAATTCTATGTAGTAGCCGAGTGCAAAAAATATTTTGTCTTTCACTTGCTCCACCCTTGCATACACCGTAATTTGCCAAAAAATTAGTAAACGTCAAGAAATTACATAAACCGTAATTTGTCATATTTTCTTTTAAGTACCTGTTTTTGTTGTAATTTAACAAAAAATAATATTTTTCAATTCACACCCTATTTTTTCCCTATTTGTGTGAATTATCCAATATTTAATGTATCTTTGCATCATAAGACAAAAATTTGTGTCGTGGATATAATTTCACGATACATGTCCATTTTCACCGCCCAAGTCAAGAATGAGTGAATTAATTAGGGTTATGGTTATTTTGAGATTGTTTTTTAAAATTCTTCCAAATATATTCTTTACAAATAAACAAAGATTTGGCGGTCAAATTCTTGGTATTTAATACAATTAACGTGTTTTTGGATAATTAATCATTTTTCGCTGCATCAAAATCCCTATTAGAATTTAGTTCCTCACAAAAGCCATTGTTAACACTGCTTTGATTGTTGTTGGTTTTGTCTCAAGAGTTACGAGCAGTTGCTCATTGAAATCAAATGAACCTACAATATTTCATTAACGTGAACACCCACTTTCACCCAATGTTTGTCCTAATAGGCGCTATAAGCACTTGGTACCAAACTCCGTTTCTCATAATTAAAGCTGCAAGTTCATCTGTCATAGCTGCCTTTCATTGCTCTCGCTATAGTGATTATTTAAAAGAGGTTGGGAACATTGATGCATACACTTTGGGAGGTTAAAAATATCATTCTTTGATGTTGTGGTTGTGGTCATCCTCTCTCCACACCAGGAGGAGGCATGGACCGGGACCATAACTTGGCCTAGGTACAGTGTTCTTTTTTGAATGATTCAAAATGGGGTTTCCTCTAAATTCTACCTCTCTTTGGGAATTTTTAATATAACGCCTGCTTGGCTAGAAACGACTTAGTGATGTCCCTTCTTCTTCAATACTTGCACAAGAAGGAACTAGTCACATGGAGATAACCTCCTCAAACTAGCGTATCAAGACGAATAAGAGAAGTCATCAGTTCATAAAAGTATTTGCACTAAACTTTTCTTCAGAGATCAGGTCAGACTGAAGATTAAAGGGGCCTCTTCAAGACTCGAGAAAGAATTAATAAAAGACGAAGGCGAAAATATGTTTCTCGGAAGACCAGTGAATCCATTAATACTTAAATTGTTTAATTAATATTTGAAACAGAAAAAAAGAAAAGAATATGACCGACTCAAAAGAAGATTATTAAAAGCCGCAACTATAGTGCCCACTTGCACCCAACAACGTCCTATTCTTCCCACTTAGTATTCAAACTCACAATACAAACAAACATATGACCAACTTGCGTATAATTTTACTATAAAACAAATTGCAAGTTGCAAGTTGCAAGTTGCAAAACTACAAGTTGCAAGGTTAGCTGTTGATTCCCATCACATATTCACATTTAATATTTTTTTTATTGGCAACATGAATATATACTTGTCCATATTGGAAATTTCTAGGTTGTAGACCTTTTTTTCCATTAAAAAAAAAAAACTCAATAGCTACTACTTCTACTTAAGCAAAATGGGTTCATATTACATGCAGAAAACAAATAACCTTTTTTACAAAAAAAAAAATGAAAAAGAAAATCTATCGAGTAAAGTCTTATATATGTCCCTTTTGAATAACGTAACTAGTACTTATGGAACTAAAATGACAATCCCAACAATTTTTGTTTAGGAGTTAAGCTTTTCTTTTTTGAAATTTAGATAATTTTCACGTTAATCCTTATTAATTCATGTTTCATGTTCGAGTTGAATGCTAACATATATCAACAAACGCGCCGCCAAAATTGAAGTGAAATATCCATTATTTGATTCATTTTATACGAGGATTTTCACTGTCATAAATTATTGAACTCAGATGAGTGCATCTTAAACCAATTAAAACAAATGATTTATAAAAAATCTCGACCTAGGAATAATATCAGCCGACAATGGAACGTGTGATTATTTAAATTAATCTCATGAGAATTCCAAGCTTAGCTAGCAACTAGCAGCATCACAGCCGCCTTAACCACTTGCACATCGAAAGGTTGGCCATTTCACTGGTAATTGACATTAAAAAAATATTTTTTTTCTTCACATTAATATAATCAATTCAAGTGTTTTCTGATCATCATTATGGAATATAGGTTATCTGAACTGTTCAATCCAATTATTCCATATAGACTATCATATCATCGATATTCCATCATTGTAATGATAAATAGCATTATTCTATATATTCAAAGAATAATTGAATAAGCATTGAATCTTTTTAAGGGACCACATTATTTTTCTAAAAGCTAGGAAAAATTAATATACTTCCACAAATTACAAACATAAATAAATAAACTATGAATTTCTTGGACGAACAACGACAATTGACAACCTCAAAAAATGTGAATATTCATGATTTATGAAAACAAAACATTAATTTTGCGTTACATTTCAACAAAAACAAGGCCGATTGGCAGAAAAATCTGATATCAGTACTTCGCACTTTAGATCTATACATACCTATGTGCGCGAGTGCGTGTGATAATGGTGAAGTCGGGATCTAGAAAAAAACAATCTTTGAATAGGTAGATGAACAATTTTAACTTTAAACTGATTGGACATTTTTCTTTACAGAAACATTTTGTCGGGCTAAATTCTCTGCGATCTGTGCAAGTGACTGAAGGTTACATTTAACAATGGTGTCCACGAAAACGCTCGTTTCTTCTTTACTGTTACCTTGAGGTATGTCAACAAGGTAGGATTCCACGACAATTGTCTCGTCGCCGCCATCCGCTGCTGGGTGTAGGGTGGTAACAGAGCGATAGTTAGCCAGGCGGTGGTCGCCACCAACTACGCTGAAGCTGATGACATGGTGTTCGTCGTTGAGGAACTCAAGGCGCTCGGTGCTGTTCACGGCGGGGAGGCCGGATATGACGTGGATCTCCCGGATGGTGCCTACGTCACCGTTTCCGACGATTACGTTGCAACTCTTAACAAAGTGCTTGTATGTCTGTGGGTTGTCGAAGCGGCGGACGATGGACCATACGGTGTCGACTGGAGCATTTATTTGCTGGATCACGGCGGAGCAGCACTGGTTTTGGCCCACGGCGTATGTGTGGTAGCAAGCGACGTGGTCTGGGACTTGGGTGCTGCAAGGAAATGGCGTCCGCCACGGCAAGGCGGCGGTGGGACTCTGCTGAACATGTTTATGACATGTAGGAGTGGCGGTGGGAGCTGTGGTGGTGTTGATTCTCTGAAGTAAAACAGATGATTTTGGGTGATTCGAAGGCATTTTCTTCAAGGGTTTTGGTTTTTTTTTTTCCTTCTTGATAATCTAGAGAGAGTTATTTGAATATAGCGTACTAGGTTTACTTGTATGTACTCGTGTATATATAATCCGCTGGCTGACGGGGGAGGAGGGTTGAGTTTCCAACTGTTGAAGGGCGGTGGCTTGGATGATGAGTCTCTTCTTTCAAGTGGGCAATATGATATGCAGATTCATGTGAGGGTTAACTAGTTGCTTCGTGTGAATTTACAAAAACAACCCTAAATACTTTCTTTGACTATTAAAAATTTAAAATAACATGTGATTTATATTTATTTTTTCTTTTCCCTAATGATACAAAATAAAACATAAAAAAATATCCTGCTTCGAGAAGGAGAATATTATGAAAGGTTAATCAACTACAATTTATGTGCCTTATTCATGGTCAACAGTGAAATATTTTTTTCTAGTTCTTGATCACTT